GGTGACAGTCATGGTATGTCGTGAATTGACAGAAGTTGGAAATTGTGAACCACTGGAAACTGACCCAGTGGCTGAATGGTCAACACGTTCGCCGTGAAACTTGAAGGTCCTGAGTTCGACCCTTAGCCGGGTCGTGGGTGCTTACCGCTGAGGAGTCCCATACTAGTTGAACGAAACAACTGTTCAGTGCTCCTAAATTTTCAATGGTTCCACCAACTGATGTCAGTCCATGGATGAATACTACGTCTAAAAATTTTTAAGCGTGAAATTAGAACAAACGTTATTATTGTGTTGTCAATATTTCCTGGTTTTTCACTCGATCTCTTTTATCCAAACTGACTTCAAAATCCAAGGTGAATAAATTATAAAAATTATAAAACTACACCGAATGATATATTCATAAGTGACAATACGTTGTGCAAATGTTACAATCAATTAAAACGTATTAATATCTCGATTGATTTATATTTTATGTAGGAGGAACAAATATTCATCAGAATAGTTGAGTTTTCTAATTTATCGTTGAGTTATCAGTTCATTTAACAGTTTGTTGAGCAAACGAACAAGTACCTAATATATACTATTACAGTAGACATTCAATATGCCTTTAAGGTATTACATAAAAGCAGTAAAGAGAGAGAGAGAGAGAGTGCCTAAATTTACCAAAGCTCTAGCCACCCGTAAATTTAAGTAAGTATACATACATACAAACATATACACACACATATATAGAGTGATACCAGAGACAAACACTGAAAATAATAGACTGGATATTTCGAATAATCATGAAATAAGTGAAATTGAGAAAAATCCACTGGTCTCTACGTTTATTTAACAGCTAGACATAAAAAGAACAAAATCATGTAATCAATACATTCATAGTGGAGCAGACACGCAGAGATTACACGAATAGATATGGTATGAAGAAGGAGAAATGTAACACAGAAACGTTCTGTAGTAAGCTGTCGTTGGGCTATGTATATGTGTGCACCTGTGTGCCTGGTGTTCAATGTCCGTTAGGATTGAACAGAATAATAACGATAATCATAGTAATAATAGTAATAATAATAATAATAGGGGTGAAATAAAGGTAAATACTTTTTGATTCATGAAAAAACGAAGAAAGCAAACTATCTGATTGCTTTAACAAACGGTTACTAGACGCCAAAATAATCAATCACATGTGCAGGAAAGAAAAGGGACATCAAGATTAAATGCTGTTATAATATGCCGACTTCGAAACAATTTTAGATTTTTAGGCTGCTTTCTAAGAAGCTGAGTTCTGAAAACAACCCTATTTCAAATAGTATTGGCATTTTCTAGTCACTGCTTACTGCTTCAAGCGAAAAATCGACCCGGATACTTCAATAATAGTAATAATAACGCTAGTATTATTAATTATGCTGATTATCAGTTTCACAAATTAAAATCCCTCTCATGTATCTGTTCAGTTAGGACTTATTGTTTTAGACATCTGTCTACTAGTAGGAGAGAAACTCGAGTCCTGCCCTATTGACAAGAGTATGGAAAACTGGACGGTATTATAAGCCCACATGCACCAGGCATAGATTACAACCAAACTAGCTAGTTAGTTTAACCAACTAACAATCTAACCTAATACATCTCAAGAAAACGTATAAAGAAAGAAAGCATCAAAGTGGAAGATGGAGATATGTATACGAAGGTAAACGAAGTAGTTGAAAATCGTTAGAAAAAAAAGAGAAAGTAAAAGAAGGGATAGGACAACAACGAAGTTTGGTATGACGATTCAGATGAAGACAATGTATGAATGCATCTGTGCCATGCAGATAGATTTTGAACCATACCATCCACAGTATCGAGCGACTGATTTTGGTGGTCATATGAACCTCCGACCTAGAAGTCTACATTTTATGAAACGGCTCACAACAACAGTCACAGAATTCATGCGCTGATGCCGCAGTTTAGTCTGGGCACCTCGAACACATTTTACAGCCTAGATCTGTCTCAGCAAATATTGCGTGACAGGAAAAAACAGTGACCAAGCATGAAAAATACATGTTCCAGCCACCTCAGTCGATACCGATGTATGACCAAATCAACTTACTTATCTTGTTTACCTAAAAGTTTATACCTTACTTCTGTATTACTGCCGTGGTGGTTACACAACACAACAGCTACGATGATAAAACGGCTGAATCTTTCTTTAATCGCCATGTTTTACAGGTATAAATTGTAACTTAAGTTACCGAGAAGAATCCGCATCTCCACATAACAGGACTATATCATTTGTATACTCTAGGTCTACTCATTATTCTCCTATGACAAGGTCAATTCTCGTTGTCAGACGACACTAGGAATATATATATATATAATGTCTATCATGAAATTAAATAGGAACGGAAAGAGTGGGTGCACTTGACGGTCATTACCGACCAGGGGCTCTAGCACCCTATGCAAACCAACCCATCTATTCTTGCGTTATATGATTATGACATTAGCTCATGTATCTCGTCAGAAGTGTTACTTTTACAATGAGCGACAGCTTAGTAAACGAATCTGTAACTAATGGCTTCAAGTACACGCAAGTGACTACCAAAGTAGGCACCAAAGTAAGCTCAAATTAAACCACGACTATCTTCATCAATAACTTCGCCTGGTTAACTAGTTCACTAGTTACTTGCCTGTCCTAAGCCCGGGTAAAGAGGGAAGGTTGGGCATACGGCTAGCAACCCTACCCCGTAAAACCAATCCAGTCGCCGAAGAAACTTCAAAGCACGAAGAAATTATAAAACATGAAATAAAACTTATTCCTCGCTGGAATCGGAGAGACGAAATGACGCCGGTTGGTGAAAGCCTTTGGGAAGCCAGTCGGCCGATGTATCTTCTCTTGATGGGAGCGAAAGTAAGGATGGGAACATGGAATGTCCGCACCATGTATGAACCTAGCAAGGCTACCCAGATTGCAAAAGATTGTATACCATCTCGTTATCCAAAAATAGGTGTGGTAGACAATCTCTCAATACACTAGCGGTAAAATTAGACATTAGGACCTTTCTCATATAAACTATCAGCCTTTGTTTTTAATTACTGATACATGTTTGAAAGTTTGGTAGTGTTTTAAGGCGTCTTTTAGGCCCAAGAAATAATAACCTAGTGACAAGACTGTGACACGTTAGCCTTAAGACCTGAAGGTTCTGGGCTCGATCTCTCGCAGGATAATTAGTGGTCACTGCTTACGAGTCCCGAATGAGAAGACTTTAATTTACTGTCTAATACCAATTTAACATCACTATACAACATTGATAATGGCAGTCCTGGTTACGTGGTGACAGCATTGGAACATTGGAGATTGGAACTATGAATACCATAATTAAACTCGGTTATATTTCCACATGCAATTCTATAATCTGCCCTCAGATCGTTCATCAGTTACTGAATGAATATTCATTTTAATACTTCAGTGCTGAAATTCCCAGGGATTAAAGCAAGAGAGATTACTAACAAAAGTGAAATGTTACAACCACTTCCTTTTTTTTTAACACAATGTCATGAAATGCAAAACTTATAAGCTTTTTTTGTGATACTGCAAATGTAAATAATAAAAAAATAGATTAACTGACTGGTCGACTGTCTGCGGAACTATCCACTGATCCGACTTTAACGCAACTGAGAATGAACAGTGATTGGTCAATGGAGAGTAACCAATTTCATATTGTAGAGTAATTCATACTGACCGAATAATACTGGTTACATTTAGCAATCTGGTCAACCAGGCTAGGAAACTCACAATTATCATGCAATTCCATCACTATTAGATAGTAAGAAGTAAACAGCGGGAAGTCCTAGATCCCGTACTTCCTGGGATCCGTCAGAGACCATCAGACAAATCAGCATATAACCTCACACAGAAGTGTATCGGTTCAAGTTTTCATATTTCACAATAGAATACGAAGAATAATTAAGTAGAAAAAGAAGTATTGAAGTTGACAAATGTGCATGATAAGACAGAGAGAATGAATAGGTGATGGTTAACAAAACGCTCAAGGTTTTCAAGATGATGATGGGCCAGTGAGACCGGATTCCAGTCTCAACGGAACAATGATCACTCACTTGAATAAAGGTGCATCCGGCTGACGGCTCCAAAATAGGACGAAATGAGCATCTTGAATTCTACTGCTAACCACCACCAAGCGATTCGTAACATGATGAATCTTCAGGCAATACATAGGCATCCACAAAGGAGCCTAAATGGTAGCAGACGTTGATCAAAGCGATCCAGTAGGACACCAAAAAATCGCAATAAATGACTGACCAACATTGCTGAGTAGTACTATAAGTTATACTATTCAGAGAATATAAGTTGTCTAGCTACTATGCTCAACCTTAAAGTGGTCGACAGCACCATTAAGTAAGGACGGTTTCTTCTATACCCTTCCACTTCAGCATAACGATCTTATGTACTGGCGTGCAACTTCATCACTGATAAGGACTGATAAGTAGGCATCAGTTGGGTGTCGGCAGACGGCTGGAAGCCCTGAACCTACGTTTCATGCTTGTTGGCACTCGTCAGTAAGGCATATCCTTAACCTCTACGAACTGATGTCCCATGTGAGAATCGGACCCGCGACACCCAGCGAAGTTATCACTGAGGTATTCAGACGATGATCGGTCTCCTGCAAGACTGGGTTAGATACACCAAAATCGGTTGCTCTCCAGCAACTAATGAGTGATAAGCAGGCAGTTAGCGCAGTTAAACTCAAGCTTGCCAGTCTTTAGCAAGCCATATATCGTACTAAAGTTTTTTTACTAAACAATAGTTTCCGATCTTTTAGTTCAGACAGGCTGCAGATATCACTATAAGTTTATCGAGTGTTGTTTAATATAAATGACCTGCTACATAACATCTGAAGTAGTTTTCACAATGAACTATTAGATCGCGTATACAGGCTTATAAATGCATACACTTGCTTTTAGGCATCAGTGTGGTCAAACACCGAAAAAATAAACAAGCAACTAACCTTGATATACAACCACCGAACAGCGAACTCTCCTCTAAACCGTAAATCTTGCCATATTGTAGAACGCTTTTGTGAATTCACTGGGCTAACCATTTCTGCAACACCACTGAGATAACCAGACTCACGAATAGAAAAGAATAAGATAATATGTCCAGGAGCTGAATTTGATGTAGTGTTGAAGTTAGACATTGGAAGACTTCTTTTAGATTTTGACGTTGTTGTTCCTGGTATCACCACTGGTTTATTCAAGTTTGTTGAGTCTATTCTCACTGTCTTACTGTTAGCCAAATCAGATTTATCATTGTTATTTATTGTCATATCATTATGATCAAAGGAATCCATGGAGACAGTGACCGTAGCGCACTAGTTTTAAAAAGTTAACCAAAAATATACTATAATGATGGCTGATGAAATAGAACAGAAATAGTATGAATAAATATGATGCTAAACATTAATAAACAGATAAAAAAGATATAACCCAGAATATTGTTCTTTCTCTACAATTCTTTAGTTTTCTCTCCCTTTCTCTTTCTTCCATTCCGTTTATACAAATCAAACATGTTCTACTCCATGTGAAGTAGACGCTGTAGAGTAGACAGATGGCTGGTGAGTGCATGACTAACTGTTTACACAAGACAGTAATTCCTCAAAACTGTATTTATTTAAAAATATATTAGCTAACATTTTATTCAGACATGGTACGGTAATATGTACTGCTTTTAGCCTTTATATGCACGCATGTGGAATATAAAAGGAAAATAAAAGGTATTGGTTTATAATTTACTTGCTGGTGTGTCTAGTAGAGGAATTCAAGACCTGGCCTTTCGTCCTATTTGAGACTAGTCAGTCGAATGTACTTGTACCCCACTGGATGGTGATATTCGGATCGAGACTCCAACCTTGTACTCATGGACTTACACGTTAAAATGACCTAGTAGAAAATGCTTTGGCGCTTGAACCGATGAGTGTGCGGTTCGAGTTTCAGTCGGAACAATATCACACACTGAGGAACGCAAGGATATCCAGCTGACGAGTTCCAAATAGGACGAAATATGTATCCTAGATTCCGTTGTTAACTACAACAAAGTTAATCCTAAAAATAAATATTTAGGAAATGTCAAGGTATTTGTATAGGAGTTCATATACTAACAGTGGTTGATCAACTCGATCCAGTACATAGAGAGGAAATTAAAAGTACCAAGGAATAATCAAGTTGATTTAGTCTAAAACCTAATACTCTAACTCAAGGTAGACAAAAGTGTAGACTTTATCAAAATCTATCCTTAATGTTATAAATTCATGGCATGATGTGCGTATGTGCACAATTACGCCTATATTTCATCGCTAATCCACAGAAGTAGTCAACGCTATACAACACATAAAATTTTCACTTCACTGAGAAATGATTTAAGACTAATAGTAATGTAACAGTAATGTACTGCCGAGGAGTCCCATACTAGTTGGACGAAACAACTGTCCAGTCCTCCCAGATTTTCAATGCTTCCCCAACTGATGCCAGCCCATGATGAATATTACCTCTAAATTAAAAATCCCTATTCGTCTAAATAATGCATTATTGTATACTGCTCATTAGTGACTTGTTTCCAGATGGATATCATGAAGCTCTGATGAGAAGTTGTGACCTGTGGGATCAACCAGTCGGAAGTGACGCGAATGCAAACTGAAGACCTTGGGTGATAGTCGACCTATATCATGAATTGATAGAAGTTGGAAACTGTGAACCACTGAAAACTGACCCAGTGGCTGAATGGTTAACACGTTCGCCGTGAGACCTGAAGGCTCTCAGTTCGGTCCCTAGCCGGGTCGTGGATGCGTACTTCTGAGGAGTCCCATACTAGTTGAACGAAACAGCTGTATAGTGGTCCCAGGCTTTCAGTGGTTACTCAACTGATTTCAGTCCATGATGAATAACTACCTTTAAATCGAATGAAAAGTGATTAAACATCATAAGCCACTTTTGAGGATTTCATCATGTATTTTGGAACCACCATATAGATTCTGTTAGGATTAGAATCAATCGTTTGGTCATTGGACGTTAATCAGTGTCTGAGATGATAACTACACACTGGCTAATTTTCTTAATCATGGATTATAGACCAAAGTTGAAACAACTTTAATCTTCATCTGTCAAAGATATAACAAAACAATAGACAATAACAAAAAATGAAATGTATTTTGAACCTACATCATTTATGCCTTGATCATTAGTTGGATGTGATTCATTACGATTATTATTATTATCATTATTCGTAGTATTAGTAATGATTTGATCGTTATGTGATTGACCTATGACCAACTCATACTCATTATCACCTCCAGCACTTGCACCGGCTCCGACACAACTATTACCATTATTATTATTATTATCATTTTTACTAACACCAACTGTAGTTGTGGTTGTTATACCTGTAGGAGCACGTACAGATCGATAGGCTTCATCTAAACACTGATTACCAGTACGAGTTGAACACCATACACCATATTTCATAGATTGATGCACATTATACGCATAATCTGATTTAATTATGAAATAACGAGCTCTGTGTACCAGTGATACATCGAAGCGCGTAGGATTAACGCTAAAAGAAAAGGCAGAAAAACAACGACAATCATAGTAATGATAATCATAGGAGAATAATTAAAGCGTGTTAAAAAAATAATAATCAGTTTTATACTACAAGGGGATTCGAACTAATGGAATTGAACCACTGTAATGACTGAATTCTTGTATTTAACTGTATGAGCGTATAGTCTTATGTAACTTCATCTTGTTCTCTCCCTGGGAAGATACAAAAAGAGTGCTGTGAATAAATTGAATGATCAGTTACAGTTAAAATCAATGTAGTTAATCGCCTGCTAGAATTTAAATGTCTGCCAAATACAGGGTAATTCAATTGAGGCACAGGGGCACAGAACTCACCCTACTGACGGCATTCAAAGACCAACGCATAGTCTCATTTTAGTAGACCAGAGAAAATCAATGGGTGAAAATAGAGAAGAATAGGTCAAATGCAGTAATTAATAAATCGTAAAAGTAGAGCCTGAGTTATACCAGACAGCCTAAGTTTCTTTGAGTGATACGTTAAAAGACAAATTTTCTTGGAAGTTTCAAACGTAGTATATTCTCCTGTGATCAACTGCTGTAGTGGACTTTCTTGGCAAGGTGTCTAAAAGCCTTTATATGCAACTTGCTATACACTTGGCAAAAACGTGTACAATAGAGTGGCCAGAATTCAGCACCAGAGCTCGTTTACGAGCTTCATGTATGCCATAGTCATTTGTAAACACTAAATCAAGTGTGTTAACAAGGTGGGTAGAAGAGTTGTGTTTCAAGGAAACTTCAGTTACATGAACTAAATCTCCAGACTATAGACTAACAGTAACTCAGAATCGGAGCAGCAAATTAAGTGAATCCATTATCAGAGCTGATAAGCTTGAGAAAATGTAGTCAGGTGTGACATAGATGTTTGCTATTTACATGTGTTTCTATTTCATCAAATGGTAAAGACAATATTCAATGGTAATACACTCAGTTTTTTCGTTAGAGAAGCTATAGCAGATATAGTTGGAGATGGGTAAGTTTGCATTGATAATTGTGGCTACATTCTCACCACACTTCTTAGGAAAGAAATGATCTTGTCGAGATAATTTGAAACCATCTAAGCAGACTAAATCATCATCATAAAGGTTATGAAGTCTTGTTTCCTGAAGCATTATTACATCCGTATTCTGATAAAAATTCGTGGATAAGAGTGACTGAAGGTGGTCAACTTTATTCGGTGAAGACCTGCAGTTTGTGCTGAGTACTTCCAGAATAGCCATTTGATCTATGATCATACGTTTGAGAGCCTGTTGTCATCCAACTTGGTGCCTCTTCCTAATTTGCCTATCAACTTGTAGAGGGGTGGGTTGTAACGATTTTAAAAGTGCACGAGAGTATACAATGTGACCGGGTGATAGAATTAAGTGACTAAAACAGTGATTCAATGCAGTGTATTCTGTGACTGTATGAGGTAGCCCAAAGTCCAAGCAAGGAGCTTTTCAAGGTGTTGCGCATATAAATGAACATTAAGGAATCGCCTAGCTACATTAACTTAAGCCAATGATGCAACGCTTAAACCCATGAATTCAGTCGTGGCTGTACTATAGCACTGTGATGCGAATGAGACCCAATGACATAACACAACATGTGAACTGCACTGATTAATCCATTTTCCTACAGTTTACGGAAAAATCAGTACAACTCACACGAAGATGATGTAAGTAGTGTTATGTGGGTTCCTAGTGGAACATAAGGCTTCAGTAACATGTCACCATTTCACTCTCTTCTCTCCAGTCTTTCGAACCTAGCTCCATTACTGCTCATAAGCTTTCATTTCTTCCTCACATCATCTCCTCCATGTCACCCTCAGACGCCCAACTCGTTGTTTCCCATTTCTATTCCACTCAACGGCCTCACCTCGTGCGTGATGTCCCCAAACCATCTTCTCAGTCTATGTGCAATCTAACCCAATCCATCTCCACTTTCTTCTGCATATTTATTTGGCGATGAAATCTTGGTTGGTTCGTTGCCAGCTCAGAGTTCCTCCTTGCTTATTCTTTCTCGATTTCTCATCTGATCTGATCTTCAGTATGGAGTGAGTGTAGGCGGCAGGTGTTCATGCATGCCTGTAGTTTGTTGGGAATGTTTTTCGTAAGGCGTCAAGTCTCTCAACCATCACATAGAAGCACTAGACTTGACTGAATTAGTGTTGAAAATCCGAATCTTGTTCTTTATCCTGAGTGCAGTGCAGTGCAGTAGATCTCCACACTGATATCCACAGATTAATGAAAGCCTGTCTTGGTGTCTTTTTAATCCTGACTTTCACATCCTCATGTGTGCCACCACCCGCAGTTGAAACGATTCTGCTGATGAGGTAGGAAGGTAGGTAGGTGAAACAGACAGACTTCTTTAGAGTTCTCTCGATCATGGTGATTAGTGCTTGTTGTTGGGCATCTTCATCAGCTGCGTCTTCTCTACATTCACTTGAAGGAAGTCACGTCTTCGCTGCGTCGCCCAGTCTCTCCTACCAACTTGTTAGTTTTCGCCTTTAGTTCTTCGAGTTTGTGCGACATTAGACATAAATCATCGGCGAAACCCAAATCTTCTAGGGCCTTTTCATCGATCACACAGCGTATGCCCATCATCTCGCTCCTCATAGTTTGTTGCATAATCCAGTCGACGATAATCATGAAGATTATCTATGATAGTAGGCAACCTTGTCATACCTGTCAACCTGTCATCATATGATTTGTTTTTCCTGAACCCAGACTGTTCCGATCGTAGTTTTGAATCCAGCGCATTGTTTAGTTTCTCCACGATGCTGCGGCTTAATATTTTCCTTCGGGTGGACACGAGCATGATTCCTCGCCAGTTTTTGCAAAGACTTAGGTCACCCTTGTTTGGGAGTTTGACAATGTATCCCTTCTTCCAATCAACCGGCAGGTAACTTTCCTTCCTTCTAAACCTTATGCAGTAGTGATGTGAGCATGTCCGTTGTTGTCTGAGCGTCTGTTTTCAGTGATCCTGGCAGAATTCTATCTGGTCCTGCTGCTTTCCCGGATTTCAGCAACTTTATGGTGTTCAAGACTTCACTCCTGCTTTTGTCGGAGGGCCAGGGTTCACTGGTAGTTCTGCGGTTGCTGGTGGTATTTTCGGACGAGTTGCAAGAGGTGGTAGTGGTCGATTCAAGAGTTTCTTGAAGTGGTCAGCCCATCGTCCCGATTGTTCTAATGTTCTTCCACGCCCAATCCTTCAGGCATGTTGCTCAATGTCTCCCATTTTTCCCTGATGACTGACGACGTGAAGATGCCTTTTATAGTTTCGTCCTTCAGTTTCTGTTCTGGGTGTTGAACTTCAACTGTGGTCTATCACCAGCTTCCTTGAAGGCTTTCAGCTTGATTTTGATGGTTCCTTGCACTAGGCAGCGAGTGGTCTGAACCTACATCTGCTCCTTTTCTTGATCTGATCTTGTATCCACTAGGCTGCGTCTCCACTTTCTTCACATTCAGATGAAGTCGATCTGGTTTTTGGTGTGTCCATCTGGTGAAATCCATGTCACTCACCTTGTGGATATCCTTGTGTTTGAACACACTGCCTCCAATCACCAAATCATTGAATGCGCAGAAGTCTGCAAACAAATCTCCATTTCCATTCATTTCACTAAGTGCTTCTCAGCCCATGATGAGTTCTCTTCCTGTGTTGTCTGCTCCCAGTTTGGCATTCATGTCGCCCATTAGAATTTTGATATAGCCAACTGAGGTCTTGTCCAGTGTTGATTGCAGTTGTCTGTAGAATTCCTCCTTCTTCTCTTCATCTGCATTATTTGTAGGTGCGTAGCGTGGCGTAGTATTGTATGATTGTGACCCTCCTTCCTTTTGAGTTTAACCTTGGTGTTATGTTCCTACAGGAGGAGATTAGTTCCCACTGTATGAGAGCCTTCGATGCTGTTAGGGACATCATGATAGCCACTCCCTTAGTGTGTTCGTGGTTGTCGTTTGGGTGACAATATCGGAGTAGATCATTGACTCTCCAGTTAACAGTTTAGAGAGTCCACTTTCATTCCATCTACTTTCTCAGATTCCTAGCACTTCAGTGCGATACCTTCTCATCTCTTTTTGGTAATCTGGGCAGCCTTGCTAGGTTCAAACATTGTGCGGACATTCCATGGCCCCATCCTTATTTTCGCTTTCATCGAGGGAGGAGAAGACACATCGGCCGGCTGGCTTCGCGAAGGCTTTTACCAACTGGCGTCATTTCTTCCCCTGATTCCAGCGAAGAATAAGTTTATCTTTATTTTTCATGTTTTGTCTGTGTTTTGAAGTTACTTTAGCGATTGGATTTTTTTTTGGGGGGGGGGGTAGGGTTGCTAGCCGTATGCCCAACCTTCCTTCTTCATCCAGGCTTAGGACCGGCTAGTAACTAGTGTACTAGTTAACCAGGCGAGGCAGAAGAAAATAGACTAAATAAATAGATAACATGGTAAAATAACATTCGACTGGATGTGCAGTAGAAACGAAGTACGCTTAACACTTTTTCCAAAAGCCACTAAGAATCAACTGATCGATTGTCACACATTTTTAGAAAAGAGTAAATATACCCAGAATATAACGAACAAGTGGCGTGCACAGAAATCCAATGATACGTTAGGATATATGCCGCCAGTTGTTTAAAGATTATGAGCCAACTGGTTTACTAGTCGGTATTGTAAAAGTACAATATGCATACAGTTAAGATGGGCTGATGGATATAGAAAATGAAAAACAGTACCATATGCATTGAAATTTTTATATTTTATTGTTAAAAATGATGCTAACAATCACCAAAACAAAACACCAATAACAATGACAGTAAACATGTGGTCACTGTGATTACCACAAATCTAATCAATTAAAAAAAGTCATTGAAACTCAATAAACTAGTGTGGGCCGGTGTATGCACATATTTGAACACCATATATATATATATATATATATACATGTAAACCCTAGATAAAGTTAACATTCCACGCTTTATGACTGCTAAAGAGTTGACGTGTGT